GAGAGAGAGAGAGAGAGAGAGAGAGAGAGAGAGAGAGAGAGAGAGAGAGAGAGAGAGACCCCGCGAACTGCGTGCCCCCTGCACGCCGTTCGCCGGGTCTCTCTCTCTCTCTCTCTCTCTCCCTCTCTCTCTCTCTGTATATATATATACATATATATCGTATATATATATATATACGATATATCGTCACAAACAGAACTGCCCGGTAAACCGTAGGCAGAGAGAGAGAAGAGGACAACAAACGAGGGGCTGTGACAACATATATATGTATATATACATATCTTTTGTTTGAATCTCCCCTCACCCCGTTCGCTTTTCTTTGCTTTCATTACTTTTCTTCGTTTGTTTGTCTTTTCTGTTTTTCATTCGTTGTTCGTTTTTTTATTGTTTTCCCGGTCCGTGGTAGCTACTGGGCGTTCCATGGACTACCGCACCGTGTTAACAAGCACGTATTTGTTTTTCAAGCAGGGAAAGGGACTGGTGGTTTAAGGAGAACTCCCTGGCCATGAAGTTTTTAAAAAGATTAAAAAAAAAAAAATGCGCCTCTTTTATTGCCTTTCCGAAGCTGGCGCATGAGTGACCAGGTCCTGCCAGTATGTGTTTTTCTATGCCTATCCGGAACCCATTTTGGTTACAGATGTAGTTGGCTCCACAAAAGATCTGCTTTTTTTCTGGGTACAAACAGCAGTTCAAGTGACATGTTTGTGAAGCTAGATGATTGTCAGCATTGCACGGGCCCCAGGGGCCCGTTCCTACTTGGCTGCTCCCATTGAGCCCTTATTCCCATTAGCACTCCAAAAGAGCAGCCCATGGGAATGACACCCACAGCAAACACTCTCTGAGCCTCCTCGCAAAGATACCGTGACCATGGCTCCAAACAAACATTCCAGCCCAAAGAAAATTGTGGCCACCCACAAACATGTCTTCATCAACAGAAACCCCATCCTCGACAGCAGGGCAAAGAATTAGGCCATGTGGCCCATGTATGAATAAAGAACAACCGACAAATTATCCGACCACAAAAGAGAGTAGCTCGCTCTGTGTGTGTGTGTGTGTGTGTGTGTGTGTGTGTGTGTGTGTGTGTGTGAAAACACATATGATAAGCCCCTCAGTGCAACATAGTTCCATTCCGGTCAGTGCCGTCTAAGGAGATGCCCATGCGTAAAGAATTTAAGACAGTCCTTACATAGCTCTCGAGTGGACAGAGCAGAAAAGGCTGGGCAGCAAGGGAGAGGTAGGGCATGAGGCAGCAAGGCGATGGACGACAAGCGGCGGCAAGGGACATAGGCTGGAGGGCATGGGGGAGGCGGGTGGGCAGACACGCAGTCCAAGACAGTAAAGGTAAAAAAAAAAGGGAGGAGGAACAGCAGCAGGAAAAAAAAAACAAGTGCCATAAACAAAAAAGGCAAAAAAATAAAGCTAACGATGACATAGATCGTTTCGCCAGACTTGCACCGACTGATCAGGAGGGTGAACCGTCGACAATCTGCACAATTCCCCATATTGAAGCTTTCGCCAAACCGTCGACCCTAATTGAAAGTCAACAGCCCACAAACAACAATGCAAGAGAAAAAAAAACATGGCAATAAGGCAACAACTTAGCGAAGCGGCAGGCAATGCTTTTTTTTTTTTTTTAATTCTTTTTAATTTTAATGAGACGATGCTCCAATCTGTTCGTGGGGAGGAACACGGCTGGGAACCGGGCCCAGCGTCCCTTCAATACTACCGGGGGCAACCCAACTGCATAGTGTCACAACTAACTGCATGGAACGACAGCGCAACCAGACGAGCAGAAAGGCAACGACACAACGAAGCACAGAGCAGCGCTGCGAAAGTGGCCACACAAGCAAAACACACAGGAAGAGAAGGCACGTGGATGGGCAGCAGGCAGCGATGCAGCGAGGCACAAAGCAACACTGACAAGGCTAACAAACTGCACGGCAAAACCAACAAGCTGCAGCGAAAGAAATGGCAGGTGGATGGGCAGCAAGGCAGCGGAGGAGAGAGGACGAGGCAGTCCACACATCCAGCACGGACCAAAGCAATCCATCCCCTACTCACAAGTCGAAGCCCGCAGACTGTTGGTTCCCACCACCCGCTGAGCCGCGGAGTCACTCCGAACATCTGTCATCACCTGTAGGAAAACAGGCATCCTGAACTGAGTGGCCCCCATAATAGTGCTGCAGGCACTCTGAACAACGAACCACTGACTATTAGGCACTATCTGGGGGTGCTCACTCAGACAACCAGAAATAACTTCGAAAGAGAGGGCAGAGCATGGAAAGGTTGGCACAAGTGGGGGGTTGATTGGTGTGGCTGGAACGCGAGGCACATGGCTAGGATGTACAGCTTGTCGGATAGCTTTCGTATTTCGTACTGTTGTCTATAGGACATACAATGGTGCAATCGTTTTTTCGGTTTGAGTGTGCCCCATGAGTCTTGAGTCTTGAGTCTCGAGTTAAGATTTTGGGCCTCGCTCCACTACACAACACTCGAAATATATCTTCCCCGAGCTGATAATGGTCCTGACACGTTCAAAATGTTTGATCAGTGTGAATGTACCTGAGCAACTATACAGGGCACATACCTGTCGAATGTTGAGTAGTGGAGTAAGGCCATCCGATTTGGATCCGCTCGGTGTTTTTACTATGTTTTAGTGTTGTTGACTGTATGTGGACTGCTTTTTACGTATCGGGCCATAAACCGTGGTATCGACTCGAGTTGTAGTGTCTCCTCTACCAATGGGATGTTGCTCTGCTCGGAAACGTCAGCAGAGTTGGGAAATGTTTTGGGATCTGTCGTCTTTTTGAAAAAAAACAAAAAACAAACAAACAAACAAACATACATACAAACAAAGCAAAGACATACTGTGAAAACAGGAAGGAAAACAAACCACACACACAGAGAGAGAGAGAGAGAGAGAGAGAGAGAGAGAGAGAGAGAGAGAGAGAGAGAGAGAGAGAGAGAGAGAGAGAGAGAGAGAGGGCAGATGTTTGTGATGCAGGTGTGAGATGTGCACTGGAACTGAAGTACTGTTTTGATGAAGATGGATATGTATTACTGGTTTATGGTTTGCAGCCCAAGGACTGCCAATATGGATGCAACATCGGAGGCAAACAAGAAGCGTCTTACATCTGAGTCGTCTGCAGAGTCCGTTTTCAGCCTTATGAATTTGGCGGCAGGAAGTCCTCTTAGTTCACCGCTTGCGTTATCCCCCAGTTCTGTTGGTTCTCCACAAGATGTGGGACACTTGCAGCTTGGCGGAAGTGGGTCTCCAACCTTGGCCACGAAGAACCGGATGCCAATCCCCATGCTGGTGGGAACTAGCGGGCCGTTGTCCCCACTCTCCTTGCCCTCGTCACTTTCTATGGGAAGCCATACTGGGTCTCAATCGGGCTCCCCAATGCTGCAGTCCCCACCTGGTGTGTCCGCTCTCCGACACACCTCACCTCCAGCTGTTCGATCCCCAGGTACACCATTGCCACTATCTCCTCCAACAAAACTCCGTAAAACAAATGCGGGTGGCAGCTATGTGAGTTCCATGCGAGGGCTTATTAATGCGGCGAGCGGGAAAGTGATGAGTCCCACTTCTTCTGGCCATGTGAAACCAGGCGGGCCCATGAGCCCATTTGCAGGTATGCCGTCACCTGCATTTCCCGTGTGGGGTGTTGGAGGTGGACCTGGTCCTGGAAGTCCATCGCCATTGACATCACCTCTTTCCAGAGAAGGTGGTGCTCTTAGTGTTGTTACCTCCCCAAGTGGGGATTTTGTAGATGACTCTAAAGAGGCAGCAAAGGATGTGGAGGCAGAAGCAGTTCCAAGGGAAGCAGTTTTCCCAAGAGTCGTGCACACACCAAGGAGTGTGCGGAAAACCAGGATCACCCACCCTGCCCTGTTGCCCCAACTGGCGCTAGAGGTGGCTGAAGAGATTGTGCGGTATCAGTGGTACATAATGCATGGTGTTGATGAAGCGTTTATTGCGCCAATCAAGGAATCATGGCTCAGCAACACAAGGGCATTAGTAAGCCGGAACTGGAGGATACCGGGTGACAAAGCCAGGGAGATAATGTCAGAGATAGAGGCAGAGGTGTGTCAGGACTACATTTTGAGCGTGAAGAAGGGTATTGTAGACTATGTCCTGAGGGACGAGTCCGAACGCAAACGCCTGGGCCTGACTACAATGGAGAGTGTCATGAGGACGGTAGCGGAGTCAATGGGAGGCGGGGGAGCTGTTCCGGCCATGGGGGGGAAGAGGTGGGGACCCGCTGCCGTGCTTATCCTGACAGCGGATTGGTGCATGGCGGTGCGACTGGCTGGTGAGGCCCTTCTACGGGATTTGCATCGGTTGTCACCACACACACTAGAACTGGTTGGGTTATGGGAGAAGGTGTTTGACGGCCGGGCATTTGTTGATGTGGGCCAGATGGAGTTCATGAGTCAGATGCCATTCACGGTCAATGGGTTTCTCGAGTGCCAGATAAGTTACGGCGACCAAGTGAAACAGACAGTTGAGCAGGAGTGGCTCCCCTCGGCGACCAACCTTTTCACCAAAAGTCCACCGGAGCCGCTCAACCGAGATTTGAAGGGGTTTTATACTGCCGTCGCTGTCCTTATGTCCATACAGCTTCGCAGATTGGTCGAGAACACAGTTACTCGCTATCATGATTTCTTCGCACAATACGGAAAGGCGACCAACCTGCGTAACCCGAAGGCGTCAAAGCGGGTGGAGGAAGCAGGGATTACAAGGGAAACGCGCAAGCGATCCATACTGGGAGTGGACAAAAGGGTCTTTGAACTTCCCACTTGGCTAAAACCTGTTTTTGTCATGGAGCTTCAACAAGACAAAGGAGTTTGCAGGTGACTGCCCAAAACTGGTTTTACCCTCTCCGCCGTCTCCAGGCCAACGAAGACTTGGTGCTTTCACAAAAAAATATGTGAAATGCGCCTGGACAATATAGTATTCCATCTAGGAATGCCACCCACAATTCATGCCTATCCATCCCTACAGCATAACTGCTGGCTCTTGGGCTTTCCTTATAGTATTTACGGCTTTATCCCTTCTGCACATTTGTTGTTGTTGTTTCAGAAGGGCTTGAAACCTGCACTAATTTGTTGCATTATCGACCAGTGAGGGCCGCAAAAAAAGAAAAAAATTGCTGACATGAGTTAGGGCATACTCAAACTTGGTCCTCAAAATCACAAAATCGCAACATGAGCGGTCAGATAGACTCCGTGTAACCGAAGGACTCGATCTGGCCGCCGCTTGTTTTGTGATTTTGTGATTTTGAGGGCCTCGTGTGAGTATGCTCTTATACTGAATAATGAGTAAGTTATACACCACTTCAAATCTATCTGTCCGAGAAGGACACCGAGAAAAAAAAGAAAAGAAAAAGAAGGACACCGTGAATGAGTCAAATCGCCAGTGGCAGAATCAAATGTTGTAAGCCTCCTGAAGTTTATAGAATTATAAATGGAAGGGTCTTTGATGTCAAAATGAAATTAAACTTGAGAAACAAGGCAAAAATAATAAAGGAATGTCATATGACTCATATTAGTTACCGGTGCGAAATTCGAATACAGAGATTTTTTGGGTTGTTAATGTTATCATCAGCACACGCACTCCTTAGCTGAACCATTTTTTAATTTTTTTTCGGGGCAAGTACGTTTATATCACCTTTTGGTTTCGAAAGGGCAAAAAAAAACACGAATGGGCAACGAAAAAATGGCTGTAGTTCGAAAAGGCAGAAATAACAGCAAAAGGCGGTAACATCAGGCCCCGAGTTCGAAAAGGCAGAAATACCGCATTTTGCAGGCTTTTTTTTTTTT